CCAAATGGTGTTACATTTCCAAGAAGACCAAACTCTCTTATTCAATAAGACTCCTTACATTTGCAATTAGGACCCAAAAAAGGAAGACAAGAGATCTACCTTTTATGGAGCTCCTACTAAGTGCCAGGCACCGTCCCACACTGTATCTTATTTAATCCTCACAACAAACTTGAGCAGTAGCATTCAAACCTCATTTTATAGGTGAGGAAACTGAGTTCCAGAGGGGGAATGTGACTTGCACTGGGTCACTTAGCTATCTGGTGAGGGGTGGAGCTGGGATTCAAACCCAAGACATCTGGACTCCACAGTCCAGGCTTGTCAATTTTCAGAGCCCAGAGCTATGCATTCAAAGTTAAATTAATTCAAATTGAATAAATGAAATTCATTTCCTCAGTGGCACTAACCACATTTCTGGTGCTCAATAGTCACATGTGGCTGGTGGCTACTGTATTGGATACTGCAGATACAGAGCATTTCCATCACCATGGAAAGATCTGCTGGACAGTGCTGCCCTAGAATGTCAGGAAAGAGAGGAAATTTGGTGATTTTACCCTTGCACAAGGAGCCAGGCCGTCTGCCATTTGTCAGCCGTATAGAAAGTCCGATCATCAGAAATTATTTTCCCTTGGTGAGATCATAGTAAAACTATCCATGGTTTTCTGGACTGTGACTCACCTTTCTCCTGGTTTGAGAGGAGGCTGCAAGATGGCTCCATTCAGTCCCACCCATAATAGGTACCAGCAAATCCCTTGGTACCCAGTGTCCTCCTCTGTCATGGGGGAGTTGGGATGCCCTCAGCCATTAAAATGGGGTGTCCTCACAGGAAAAGTCAAATGGGGACTGAGCAAAATTGTATGGCATAGTGGGCTTCATTCTGGCTCGTCACTGGGTGATGTGCTTGCTGCTAGGGAGAGGTCTCCTCACTGAGTGACAGTGAGGACTGATAGAACTCCTTGGCCAAGGGCATGTCTGGTTGTAATGGAGTATCTTCTTCCTGTCTAGCAACAGAGCGCCTTTCCTATGTTTGGGGAATTCTCATTTTGTAAATGAAGGCCGATTCTTCCTCACACCATAGAAACCAAAAAAGTCACATGTTTGCCTTTATAGCTTCCAGTGCAAGTAAGAGATGGGCATGTAATCAAGGTTCAGCCAACCAGAGCTGGGATTTCAAAGAAGCAGGGACTGTGGGGAATCCTTATAGGTGGGTGAGAGTGGTGTTGAGACAGTGCCTATGACCAGCTGTGCATGGTGAAAGCAGGGCATCTAGCATCCTTGCCAGACTGACCCACTGGTCCATAGTCCCATACGACCTGGCCGCCTTCATTCTTGGCCACTTCTAGAAAACTCCTGGTGATTTTTTGAACCTCCCATTACCATTTTTTTAAAATTCCACTTCTGCTATCATCAGAGTTAGTTCCTGTTGCTTATGATGAACTGACACAGTGGTGTTCACTGGAATCAGACCAGATCATTTCTGGGCTGGAGTTTGCTTTAGAGGAAGCTGGAGAGGAGGGATCTGTGCTGTGGTCCACATGATCACTTCATATCAGGACCCCTTGTTCCAATCCCACTGGCTTCTTTCCCCATGTTGCATTCTTACCATCTCTCTCCTCCCTCAAATTAAGCAAACCCCCAAAATCTGGAGCTTGGAAGCCCTGCTCTACCTTGTCAAGACTTCTTTCATTCTCTGAGTCCCTCTTCAGGATTTTGGGGCTCGGAAAATCCTTTTCCTATTTTTCTGCTGAAAAAACTCTTGCCTGAGCAATAAATGCCTTGCAGTCCAGGTGAGGTGGAAAAGGGGTCACATATGAAAAGGAAAAGGAAACATAGCAGTGATACATCAAAAAGTTTTCCCACCATGTAAGGGTGACCTTCCTAGATTTCCCAGATGGAGGGGTTTCTTGGGACATGGGACTTTTGGTGCTGAACCAGGGAAAGTCCTGTGCAAACCAGGATGGGTTGTTCATCCTACACTTAAGTACTACTAACAATCCTGTTCCTTTATGCAACTTTATACAGCTTACTGAGGACAGATTCAAGACAAGACCCTCATCAACAGTTCCCTATCAAGTTTTTTTCTTTCCTGTAAGTGAAAAAAAAAATCTTATTGTTGTTTAAATGTTCATTGGCTTCAATATAAGTGGGCAGAAGCATATTTTCATGTTTAAAAGCCATGTTTTCTATTCTTTTTTCTCTGAGCTATCTGTTCTTATGCTTGGTTTTTTTATTATAAAGCAAAAAAAGACACCCAGTTAAACATGGTGGATTGATGACATGTATTTCATTTGTTCCCCTTGAATTCCATTTATATGACAATAAAAAATGTATCAGCTCAAAATGCTAATAGGACAGGAGGAAGTCATTAGTGGCCCCAAGAGTTCAGTAAGCTTTTTATAAAGACAGAAGAGGAAGTATTAACTGACTTAACAGAGGGAAGAAGTTATGATCTAAAGTTTGCAGATGGGAATATTGATGACTAAAAAGTAAATCCAGAATCTTACCATAGAAGAGATGGATGCTAAAGTTGAGGAAATATTCCAGAGAGTAGAACAAAAAAGTCATAAAGGGAAAATAAGAGAAAAAGAATAAGAAAATTCAGGGCTCAGTCCATGAAATAAAACTTCTGATTAAAAGAAAGAGAGAAGAGAAGATGGAAAAATAGGAGGAAGCTATCAAAGGAATAATATAAGAATATTTCCCAAATGAAGGGATACATGTCTCCAGCATAAAAGAACCCAGCTAACAAACACAGTGAGTGAAAATGATCACTGAAGGGGAATCATCTCAAATATTATGACATTGTGAATAAAGAAAACAGGCTAAAAGCTTCCAAAGATTAAGAGAGAGAGAGAGAGAGAGAGAGAGAGAGAGAGAGAGAGAGAGAGAGAGAAAGAACTAGTCCTATGCAAAGGAACAGGATTGCAAAAAGCATTAGATGTCTTAACTCTAGCTCCTAGAAGACAGTGGTGCAATGCCTTGAAAATTCCAAGACAAAATCATTTTCAACCTAGATGTCTAAACCCTGCTAAACTATTAATTAAGTGTGTAAACAGTATAAAGATGTCTTTAGACATAGGAGGACCAAACCTACTTGCTTCCATGCACCATTTCTCAGGACTCTACTAAAAGGTGTGCTGCACAGAGATGAGAGAATAAATCCATAAACCAGAAGATGTGGGGTCCAGGGAACAGGGAATTCGATCTGAGAGAAGAATGTAATAAAGTCTAAATATGGCAGTTTTGTGTTGCAGAGATTGGAGAGCTTGGGCTTGGAGAGCACCAGTCCAGATTAAAGCTGAGGTCTTCAGAAGAAAAGAACAAAATAAAACTCATGGACTATTTGTTGTATTTAAGCATCTGGAAAATTCACTGCTAAGCATTTGCTTGATTTATTGACCATATAGAAAAAAATGAACAATAGCTACAAAGGAAACTAATGAAAATGAAGAAAAATCGAGGCAATTGTTAACCTCAGAACATAATACAAGATGTGGAAGAAACGAAACATAAGCACAGTGAAACATAAACATAAATACATCTTATTTGGTTCAGTAGAAAATAATATTTGTAGTCATTGTGGGGTAAAAATGATTTACTGACTTAGCTGTATTGAATAATGTAGTAGGGTGGGTTAACAGGGGGACCCAAAGGATGATTCAGAGTTAGGTGTTTTAGTTTGGGCCAGATAACTGCTGTAGCAAAAAGTCTCCACATCTCAATTGCTGAATACAATATAAGTTTGTTTTCTTGTCCAGCTTTTAAATGATGGAGGTCGACTGGCTTTCTGGCTAGTTGTCCTTGAAAGGATATCTCATTGATCCAGTTTCCTCCCATTTTACAGCTCAGCCATCTCCTAGGGCTTTGGTGTTCTTCATTTAATTGGTGCAACCCATTACAGAAAACTATATGGAGGTTTCTCAAAAATACTAAAACCAGAACTCCAGTACAACCCAGTAATTTCACTTCTGGGAATTTACCCAAAGATAAATCACAAATCGAAAATATATACCCACTCCTATGTTTCCTACAGGATTATTTATAATAGCCAAGATACGGAAGCAATGTAAGTGTCCATCAACAGATGAATGGATAAAAATGTGATATATATGCGCAATGGAATATTACCAACCCATCAAAAAGCATGAGATCTCTATGTTGTACACTTGAAGTCAATATAATATTGTACATAAATTATACTTCAATTTAAAAAAAAGGCCCTGCCCTCATGGAGCTTCTGTTTAGTGGATAAAAGCAGGTATGAATTCTTATATAGGGATGGAGCCTGGCCTTCCAGGCCAGTGTGGCTGGAACAGAGAGCGATTTTGCAGAAAGTCAGGGTTTTGGATTTTATTCTAAGAGTATTGAGATTCCATTAAAAGATGTTAAGCAAGGAATGAGGACCTGATATTTTACTTTTTAAAATGGTCACTCTTGTTGCCTTGTGGAACATGATTGGCAGGCAGGGCAGGGCTGGAGAAAAGAGTAGAAAAGCAGAGACTAAGTATTGCAGATCATCTAGAAACGAGGGGACACCAGCTTGATCTGGTGGAATGGCACTGAAGACAGAGAAAGGTGGATAGACAGGAGAAATATTTGAGAGGTAGAATAAGATATAGTGACAAATTGGATGTTGGAAGTGAAGGAGGAGACAAGAATGATTTCTCAGCTTTTTGCCTTGAGTGACTGGGTGGATCCTAAATGGGAGCCGTCTCAGTAGCAGTTTGAGGCAAGTCAGATAACGGATGTGAAAGTGTTTTAGGAAAGGTCAAAGGTGTAGAGTGGCACGACCAAGGCAGTGCTGTCCATTTTACAGATGTGGAAGCCGAGGCACGAGATGCCAGAGGGTGGAGGCAGGTCACGTCTCACTCGTTTCACATCTGGTAGGTGGTTGAAAGGAACGACGCGTGCTGGGCCCCTACTGCCCCGCAGGCTTCCTCTGTCCGCCGCCCGTGTCCCAATAAAGTTATTGAAATTGACACCGGTTGCTAAGGAAGTAGGTCGCCGAGCCGGGTTGCTAAGGAAGTGAGCCGCCACTGTCTCTCCCCATCCGGGGCAGCGGGGAATGGCTGAACTCCGGGTTTGCCGCCGCCGCCGCTGCCGCCAACCGCTTTCGGCCCCGGCCGCAGGTGAGTCGAGGCGGGGCCCGGGCACCGCGGGGCAGGGCCAATCCCTCCCGCCGTCTGGGATCTTCCCGCGCCCGCGTCGCTGCCTGGCGTGGCCGCTCCGCGAGCGGGAGCATCCTCTGCCCTGCCTCCCGGGCATCCTCCGGCCGTCCGCGCCGCCTCGCCCCTCTTTCCCCCGGCGTATGTACGACCCCACCCTCAGATCCATGCTCGAGGGGTTGGGGGTCCATCTGGGGGTTCTGGGGCGGTGGTCAGGGCCACAGCCCGGGAAGGAGGCAGGGAAGCGAAAGCGTGGGGATCTGTACCTCGCCGTTGGCCCGGCTCACTGGGTGACCTTGGGCAAGTCCCTTACCCTCTGGCCTTAGTTGACCTGCTTGCGCAAGGGGGTCCTTACACATGGCGGCTCATAGTAGTTAAGATGAGCCATTGAACGTTCCCTAAGTAGGTAGAGGGAGAATTCTTAGGGCACCCTAACTTGGGGGCCAAGAGTCCAGTTTTAAGTCTGAGTGTCTTGAGTTTGAGACTCTGCATCTCTAGTAATTGTGTGGCCTGGGACAAATTAACCTCTGAGCCTTCTTTTCTTTATCTGTAAAATGGGTTAATGAACAAGTGTGGAATTCTATTAGACAGGTAGCTTGGTTCAGTAAGTTCAGTAGTTCAGTAAGCTATTATGAGGCCGGTGGGGTGGTTTGAGCAAGACTTCCAGGAGGAGATGGCTTTGAGACAGGAAGGATACAGGTGTATAGAGTGCCAGCTCATACGGATTTTCCTCCCACTGTTGACATCCGTCTAACCCCAGTTTTACTTCTCCATCTGCTCAGAGCAAAGCAAGGGATGTGGAGTGGACTTCTGCAAGTAGCCCTAGTGGGGGAAACCCCGAGGTCAAGTTCTTGTAGGTGGCTGAGGTTCTACTTGGGCCTTCTTTGTTGACTCCTCTGGAAGAAAAGGAGTATATTATGACTTTTGGAAAGTACTTAAAATGTACTAGTTACATGTAAGTATATGATTAAGAAACACTTTTCAGGCACATTATCTCATTTAATCTTCACATAGCCTTTGCCAGGTAGGTGGTGATGTTACCCCCATTTCAGTTTCCTCAGAGGAAACTGAGGCTCAGAAAAGTGAATGACTTGCTTAAGAATCTTATACCTGTTAAGTGGTAGAGCTGGACACATTTCCAGGTAAATATTGTATTTTCTTCCTCCTACCCTGATGTCTCTGATTTCTCAACAGTAGCTGTTACAAAGCCCCAAGGGTATTCTTTTGTTACTTCTAGCTTCTTTGGCTAGAGGCTTTCATCCAGTGGCAAGGAAACAAGATCTTACTTAAAGCTTCATTTAAATAGATAGCATCCAAAGTGTAGACCTCAAAAAAGGAGCTGGAGTGCTTAAAAGGGGGCTTCTCTGCCCCTCAGTTCCCTCCTCTTTAAAATGAAAGGAGTAAGCTAGATGGTATCTGAAGGCTTTTTCAGCATTGTGCAATTCCAACTGCAAGCTAGTGGTTTAAAAGCATGAAATCAGGCTTTCCTGGTTCAAATCTCGGTTCTGCCACTTCCAAGCTGCGTGCCACTGAGCAGTTTACTTCACCTCTTTGTGCTACAGTTTCCTCATCTGTAAAATGGGGAAAATAATAGTATCCACCATGCAGCTTATGTTCCAGTTGCAGCAACAGAAAAATAAACCAATAATGAGCAAGGTACTTTGGATTAGGAATTAGCACTGTTAAGACAGTCACACAGTGATGTCATAGAGAGTAACTTCTCGAGGGGATTGGGGGCTGCTACTTTGGTTAGAGAAGGCCTCTCTGAGGTGGTGACACTTTTGCTGAGATTTGCTACCAGGAAGGGGCCAATTTGAAAATGTGGCAGAAGGAACAGCAAGGGTAAAGCGTCTGAGATGGGAATGGGCTTGATAAGTTCTGAAACTGAAAGAAGGCTCAGAGTGGCTGGAGCAGGTGAGCCAAGATGGTGGGGGGTGAGGGGTGGGCCAATGCGAGGGGTGGGGGTGAGGCCTCAGATCATGTAGGGCCTTAGGCTAGAGTAAGGAGCTACAAGCTATGGAAAGCCAGTGAAGGCTTTAGGAAGGATAATTATATTCTTTTTGATAAAAAACCACTTTGGCCTCTATGTGGTTAGTGGATTTTAGGGGATGTAAGAATGGCAACTGGGAGAATAGTTAGGAGGCTAGGTGAGAGGTGATGGTGGCCTTCTAGGGTGGTGGCAGTGGAGTACAAGAGGATGGATTGGGAGGCTGAACCAGCAAGGTGTTTGGGGAGAAGAGCCAAAGAAATCATGGGTGACTCTTGGATTTTTGGCCTGAGCAATTAGATAGTTGTGATGCCATCTGTGTCTTAAAATGAGAAGTTTTTGGTAGGGCACCTTGGGAGGGAGAATTAGGTATGGTTCACTCTGAACCCTGTGTGGAGAGGCCCAGGTGTAAACATCAGACCTTACAGGTTGGGGAGGAGACCCCAGATTATGTTGCAGAAAGACAGCCAGGGGCATGTCACCGAAGCCTCTGCCTTGGACAGCCATAACCCTGCTTTTCTTGCAGTCTGGCTTCTTGCCTGCTTGTGGAGTGGCAGGTATAGGCTTAGCCAGGGCAGTGCCCATCTGTCTTGTGCTATTGGCATTGCTGTCCTGACTTGAGATTTTGGCTGTGAAGGCTGGAAGGAGGCTAGCCAGTTTTGGGAGACAGAATGGAATCACTAGTGACGTTCACTCTCAGTGCCCATGCTCTCCCTGCCAGACTGGTTCTTTCTCTGGCCATCAAATGACATTTCTAAAGTTTCAGAGCCTTTGACTTGGGAATCCCTTGAAAAGCTGTTGTGTTCTGCAAGAACTCCTAGAGGATCCTTGAATGGAGTAACCCTTCTGAGCAAGGGAATTCAAGCCTTCTTTTCACATATGCTAGTAATTGCATATAATGCTAGTAATGCTAGTAGATACAGGCTTTACAGTGTTGTAAATTCAACATGGTGAATGGTAAGACTGGCAATCCTACCACCTCCAAGTGGATAGCTTTGTTTGCTATTTAGAATGCTCTTTCCTGGGCATTCTCATTTACTAATGTTCAGTCAACTGGGATCATGTGGAATATGTATTATCCCCTGTTTACATATGAGGCGTGGAGATGGCGGAGGTCATTCGTTTTGGTCAATAAGCACCTGCTGGGTGCTGGTTTACATAGATCCTTGCTGCTTAAAGTGCGGTCTGCATGACAGAGGCACCCATTTCCCTAGGAGCTTGTGGAAATGGAGACTAAGCCTAGATCTAACAAACCAGTCAGCATCTTACCAAGATCCCTGGGTGTTTCCTGTGTACATCAAAGCTTGAAATGCATTCTTTTGGCAATAAGTAGCAAAATGAGGGCTTGCTGATAATGATAATGAAAGTAATAGGAATAGCATGTGCTTACTGAGCCAAGCACTGTTAGCAGCACTGTTCACGTGCTGTACTGTTCACGTGCTGTCTCATTTAGTTCTCACAGCAACCCTGCAATACAGGTGCTGTCATGACTCCCACTTTCCAAAAGAGGAAAGTAGAGGCATAGAAAAGACAAATAACTTCCCCAGGTCTGCTGACTGCAAGTCTATTATTCTTTCTACCACTCACTCATTCATCTGTTTTTCAGGGGGGCAGTACATCTCTGTTGACTTGTCAAAGGCCTTTCCCTTTGTACCTGAGGAGTTATTTTAAATGCTGATGAAAAGTGACTTCAAAGAATGAAGAAATCAGGGGAAAAAACCCTTGAGCTATTTTAATCTAACTATGCGTGTCCGTTACTTGACTGATAGGCAAAAGATATCCAATTTGTGAGATAGGCTTCCTCTCACACTTCTTAGTTGTCTAACTCAGGGCTGAAACAGCTGAAGCAGGTAGGAACTATGAGCCTGTATTTTGAGTCATTCAGCGGTAAGCTGTTTCTTGGTTCTGGTGATAATATCTACACTGGGCAAGAAGAGGGTGGCTAAAGCCCTGTATCACTCACTGCCTAGTTGCAAAAGATTCCATTTTGTATTGCCTCAGTTTCCCCTCTCTGTCCTGTAGGCTCATTGTTTTCCTTTCAACATCTTATCTCCCCAGAAGCTTAGAAAGATTTCTTGGTCAAGGCCTGTGCCATCACAGGAAATTCTGGTGTGAGAAGGCAATGGGATATGGGCGGAGGAATACTAATAGCAATTCTGTCTCTATATGTTCTAGGGCAAGTAATTCAACCTCTCTAGCCCTCAGTCTCTTTATATGCAAAATAAGGGCTTGAGTCAGTCTTCCAAGGCTCTTAGAGCCCTGCCTGGAAGAATGAGCTTTGAGTTGGGTGATGTTTTCTTCTTCCTTGGTGACTTCATGCTGAGCTTTCTCCAAGACCTTCAGGGGTGGGGCTTTTAGAGCCTATTTTTTGGCAGTCAGAGATGATTACAATCAGCTGTCCTACCAGCATCACACATCTGCACTGCAGCTTGGAACGTTCCTGTGTAAGGCCCGCTTAATCACGGTGACACATTGCAGGCAGTAAGCTCTTCACACGCACACACAGATCTAACTTTAGGATGCTTATTTATTTAAATCAGTTTGCATTGGAGAGCATCAGTGATCATTGTGGTTGGTGTGGTTTTATTTTTAAAGTTTTTGGCAGGATATTTGCAGCACTTGCATTTTGTCATATTTGAACATAGTTCATAAATGGAAATGGGACCAAGTGAAATAGAAGTTGTAATCCATTAGTGGGAGTTGAGATTTGACATACTGTTACCCATTCTGAGGTCCTTCATATCAGCTTCAGACATGGTTTTAGGAAGAGCTTGGTTTTGGTCTTTTGTACGTGACATAAATTGAACAGAAACTAAAAGCTCATGGCATAGCCTCCCGCCGCTTGTGGATTGCAGTAATCATTACTTTATAACATATTTTGGTAACCTAAGCAAAAAAATCTAGCTAGTAAATCATAAAAGATTCCATCCAGGTAAGATAAAAGGTCAGTCCAACTTAAGATAACTACAAGAAGATA